AATTGGGAAGGACAGAAAATATAATGGCAACGAACCAACGATAATGTGAGGTCTTTTAGCAAGAGCAAGGGCTTGTGTCGTCATATCTACTCCTCCAACAATGACAGCTGAAAAAAACATGTACTTAATGCTACGGTCAGAGAAAGAATGAGAAAAAACAACAATTTTTTGGAAGACAATCTGTGAATACAGCTTCAATAATGAGGCCCAATCGCAGCGCGAACAAGGCTCAAAATGGAGGGCATTTATTCTCCGATACACGACTTCTCACCGTCTCACACTTCTCGCACACATAACTAACGGTTCACCGGAACATACGTTGTAATGGAGAAAATCCTACCGCAACTGTTTTCGGTCAACAAAATGTGAAAGATTTTTACTCCGTTCTCAGCTTTTGCTACTGGAACAAATCGCGGGATCTCTTAGTAGGCTTTGAATGGTTCTATTTAGGTGCTCTTCTCTACCAGCGTTTCTGTGCTTTTCGCTATCCCCTCTCTACTGCTACTCGGAACAATCTCAGTGGACGATTCCGCGCACTCTGCCTCCAATTAAACAAAAAAAATCTGTCTGTGGCACAAGAGTCATCGAGCTGAGAGGGTAGGGCGACCATAATAGCGTAACGGATACATGGCATTCGACCAATAAGCGAAAGATGTACGTTCTAATCCAGCTGGTCCGACTTTTGCCATAACTCAGCATTTTTGTAATGAAAGAAAAATATGTTCACGCAATGTTGGTGTACTTACCGACTATCAAGCCGATGCCGGCACCAAGAGCTTCAAACTGCTGCGCTATTTGAAACGCAAGTTCTCTGGTAGGCGTAAGTATCAAGCCGAAAAGTTTCTGTGGTGTTTCGAGCAATGACTGCAGGATTGGCAATGCGAACGCAGCTGTTTTACCAGATCTGAAATTGTTTTCCACAATACAGGTCAATGAATGGACATGGTGAGAAAGGAGCATTACTAAAAAAAGGGTAGCAATGAATTTGTTCCGAGATAATATCATTCAAGAATCCCTAAAAGACAGGCACCAGAACAAGTCTTTCTTTCCAGCATATACGGAATTTTGCTGGAGCCCCTTTGGCTGTGTTCATACCGACGTTTTCGACGACTAGTTCGCGAAGATTATATACGTATCGATCCGACGTAACGGACGAAACCGACGTAAGCGACGTAACCGACGTAAGTGACGTAACCGACGTTTTCGACGTCAGTCGATACGTATCTAATCTTCTGTCGTCGGTTACGTCGCTTACGTCGGTTTCGTCCGTTACGTC